TATATAAATTAGGATGTGAAGTTACAGTTTTACTCACCTGATAAGGTGGGAAGTAAGTTAGCCATCTTTCTATATGGGTAGCATACCAGCCAGGTGCTAAGCATCTCTTCTGGAGAGCTCTAAGCTCAGTGGGGGCTCGAGGTCCAGCTGTGATCACCTGATAGAAGCTGAATTTCAGAGCTGCGGGATCTTCGTGCGATCGCTGGTGCTGTAAAAGAAGTTACACCGCTGGAACTTCACCGAGCACAAAAGTTGGGCAAACAAGACAGAATTGGCTGCTCTTACTGACCTGGCCTTACTGACAACAATTTCTTCATCTATCTCGTAATCTGTCTTTTGAGCGTGAACTGTGTCTGCAAACTAATTTTTCTATGTGACGTTACATAAATTAACAGAATAAGTCAGCATTTCTACGTGCTTATATGACAGGCAAACTTTTGAAAGGTGCTTTCTGGAATTTCAAACTTTTGAAATATTCAATTTCAACCCTGGAAAGATTTTCAGGTTTACGTTCAGCCCAAGAGTGATCACATAGAACGCACTGACTGGCGAATAAAAACTTGTCTTGCCAAACCCTTTATAAATAACCCAAACCCTTTATAAATAACATATACTGAAAAGCTCTACAGAGGAAAGGGTGGTCATGGTGGAAACCTTGATTTGTACCTGCCCGTGTTCTTCAAAATGCATACCTGGTACCAGGAATAGGCTCGATCGGATGGGTCGATGAGGATGGTGATGATCTTGGCCTTGGGGATGAGGGAAGCAGCTCGTTTCGGGGCTTCCTCAGAATGGAAATAGTTGGCACTTTTCTCAAAGAGGAAGTCAGAGGTGACATTAGAAGGAGCGGGGAAGAAATCCATGTACCTAGGAAGGCAACGTCATTCTCAGAGTTACTTACAAGTCACACGAAGGCTGATGAATCTGTTACGTATATTTTATTCTAGAATCGTCGAATAAAATAATATCCTAATTGCCAAATAAAAGCAAACAAAAGTTTACATCATGTTTTTGATCATATTTGACTTGGTGCAGCTTTCCTCTTGCTGCAGCTGTTCTTTAGTAACCAGATGAAAACGTTACGACAGTCATGTATCTTCTTACAAATTGTGAATTCGCACTTTTCAGTCAGAACAAACTCCTAGCAAGGTCGAAAGCAGAACATGAGTCTTCCAAATCTGCCCTTTTGCTGACATCAATTACAGTGCAGTATCAGAAGTGCTTTTACTCAAAAGAGAAAAGAGCTCGTTTATGTGGCTTGTTTTCCTTTTAGTTTTCCTTGTGAGCTTTTCTTATCCATCAAGAAGCTGCAGTTCATTTCCAGTGATCTCCTGTGTCACTTAGAGGCTTTCTCGGTGGCCCTCAGACCGCTTTGCATTATTGCCGGAGAAAAGAGTAAATGGGAAATGTTTGTTTTGTGGATTTTTCAGTTAAAATCTGTATTGATGAGGTAAATCTGGACTGGTCTTTAGAGGACAGTTTTCTACACCTTAGATAAGGAATAATAGTTGTGGGTACATTCAAAATCTTAAGAGTAGCAGCTCATAGACTTTGTAGCAGAGAGACCTAAATGACGTCACAGAAAGGGCTGATGTCACGGGCAGGTCCCTGCATAAGATGCTCAAAACTGGACTCAGAAGTTCTGGTACAAAGCTCCGTAGCTAGGGCTAGTCTCACATGCAGACTGCATGTAAAAATGGTGAAATATGAGGACAATGAGCCAGAACAGAATGAAAGGCTGTCAATGCCCTGCTAGTTTATTGTTTCTGTCTGCTTAGCGCTAGGGCAATTATCTAAGACCATAATACTATTTCGTTGAGTTAAAAAAGAAGGACTCTATTTCCCCCAATATATTAGGGCTGATTTGACGAAACTGATGAAGCAATACCAATTTCTACTCACAAATGGAATTATTATAAATGAGTGACTCAACCTGATGGTGCGACCTCCGAATGTTTTTGCAGAACACGGACTTCAAAGGAAAAGGCCAGCTAGGAAAGAGGCAATAGGCACGACAGGCAAATCTGCTCTAGGTGCATTTCCAGCAACTAAACACCAGTTCTCATCGCACTGTTCTGCCACCTCTGTTGGGAGACCACAATGGGCATCTGTACCTGTTTCGAGAGGTTCTGAGGATGCCGAGGGCTGAAAGAACCCTCTCCCGCTCCTGTAGTGAGCCTTGGTCTAAGCGTGAGCTTGGACAACGACTAAGTCATAGTCAGCTCTGGAAAAAAACTCCACCTCCACAACCATAAAAGCAATTGAAATTATTGTTTTTTGTGAGTACTCTTGCCTTGAGGGAATCCTAGCCAATCTATGGACTAACAAGGTGTATCTAATGACAGGTTGGTAAGCTCCCTACATGCCAGCGTTAAAATACACTACAGAAGTGAAGGTCTGGGAGATTTGCCTGGCAGGGAGCACGCAAATCCAAGAGTCACGCAGCTACATCCACGGAGATGAAGGTAACTGGGCACACGTCTAACAAACAGATGGGATCCATGGGTTGGGAAAGTGGGGAGGGCAGGAGGAACGAGAAAAGCAGCAAAGTGGTTTTCCAGCAACATGAAAACACTGATTTTTGTGGACAAAAGTGGCTCATTGTACTCAGGCTGTCTCTATCAGCCGGGACCTGCTACGCCTTGCTTGCACGTCATCGTCACTGACTTCAAAAGTCTCCGCAGCAAGGCGGCAGCTTTCTAATTTCCACTCCTTCTGCTGGCGTCTCTCCATTGCTAATAACGGGCTGACTCACCGCGCTTTGAAATAAGAATCTGCCGCAACAATTATAACTCTGTAAAATCTCAGTGACTTAAGAAGAAACTGGAACAGACGTATCTGCGCCGAGATCAAATAACTGTGCTCGCTTCGTTAATTTTATGGATGACTGCAAAGTCAAAGGCGATAAAACCAACCCCTTAAACCGGTGGGGGAAAAAAAAACCAAGACAAAATATCAATAATCTTTTACTGGTGCTCCTCAGTCACTCCAGCACGTTAGCGCTTTTCGTCTTGTAGTGCTTGCTGAAAGTAAGAGAAATCAAGAATGACCTTCTGGGGCGGAGCTGTGGGCACAGCTTCCCCTGTCCCCCTTTCACCTGATTGCTATTTTAAATCCTATTTAAAGTAAAAAATGCCTCTTCCCAACACTACCCTTTTTTTTTTAACCTTAAGAAAAAAGATTTCCAGCAGAAACATAATTCTTGCCTCCATACATCCAACTCACAGCCGTTACTGTCCTGATTTCAAAGGCACGTGTAAAGAGAAATACGTGTTTTTTACTGTTTTTTTTAATGTTAATGTATGGATATTTACAAGAAAGCCTCACAAAAGTTAGCGTGTTTGTGATATTCTGCGCTAAGATTGTTACTCACTTGCATTTATTTATCATTTTAGAAGGACACTGAGGGTTACTTTTTCATCTCACTCTCCATGCATAAGCAGTTACCATGACCAACAGTAATGTCATTTTTGTATTGTTCACAATATAGAAACTTGTATATTTATACTAATAACCCATCTTACCAATCAATCCCCCTGTGGTAGTTATTTCTATTAAAGAACTGTACCTCCTCAAAGGTTTTTGGGCTGGGGGAGTTACTAATGATGGAAGGATGCATGATCAGGAACAAATACAAGGCTGTGGTACCTGCAAATAAGATTAAAGTCCAAGATTAATTAAAACCCAAACAAAACATACATAGGTTTTTGGGGGTTCATACACACAGATGCATTAAACCACTTCTATTCCATTTCATTTCAGCGAGGGGATGCTCATTTATGTCACCTAAGAATCTGGCCTTCCTGGGCTTTTCAATTAAGATGTTTCAAGAACTGTCACTAGTTAATGCAGTAACTGGAGCGCCACCGCTAAAATCTGTTTTTCACACGTTTAATAACTGCGTTTCAAAAATAACTCTTGGTTTTTAGAAGACTGTCACAAAAAACAATTCAAAAACCTTGCGCTCGGTAGCTACGGGGGGTTGGTGAAGATGAAAGGAAGCGCATTTTCTGATTACAGACAAGAAAATTAACCATTAAGTTAATTTATAAACTACTGCAACCTTGCAATGCAACCTGGCCATTAGGAACTTCTCGACTTGAAATAAATGCCAGGAAATAACAAGTTTCTACGAACAAGACACGTTCAGGGCGGACAATACAAGCAGTAACTTGCAGAACTCCAGGGTTTGAAAAATGTCTGTCCTTCCCTCCTTCACTTTTGACAAGATCTTGTTGATCTCTTTATCAAGGTTTTCCTCATTTTGACATAAAGCCAAAAAAAATCCGACGCACCCCCGAACCCTGCGTTTTCTCCACGTGCACTCTCTGCTCTTTTAAGTTAAATGATGAAACTACATTTGGATGGTATCTGCAACAAAAGATGCTGTTCCATGATCTAAATCTCTACACACAGCAGTCTGAGTAAAACGCGATTAATCGAGGTAATCATTCGCACTTACATGTCACCTGCCCTGCTGAAATACAGTAAAATCTCACCAGTTTTCTGGGGTCCTACGACCAAGAATTTTGGCAATCGGTCACAGGTTTTTTCTTTAGACCAGATATCTCTGTGCCGTTTGTCATCACAGGGATTCTAAAACGAAGAACAGCAAATAAGAATTTCATTGGCAATCACACTCGACATGCTTGTCACATTATTTTCATGTAAATCAGCGATTTTTTCACCAGTGTGCAGATATTCTTACCACAGGGTGGTATTCTCCCTTATGACAGAAAACCTTGTTATGCATTAATGAACTATTTCAGTGACTCAGAAAGGTATCTGCAATGTAACCAGGCCAGAAATTGTCTCTCTTCGGTTTTTTTTTTTTTTGATTACGCAAGCTGTGGGTTTTATTCTACCCAGTTATAGGCACCCTGGCTACCCAACAGAGCCCAGGAAAAGATCATTTCTCCCACAAAATGTCAGTATGTTGAGTGGAATTATACCAAAGACAAATCTGACCCCAAACACAGAAGATATGAGAATAACTCAAAAGCAATTGATTAATTGCATACAAGGTAGGAAGACCTGAAATTGCTGATTAGTTATCTAATGACTGACTTTTTCTTTTACCTTTTCTAGCTACCACCCTATACACGATGTAGCTTTTAAACTAAAAGAGTAGATAGGTTAAAACTGAAGACTTGCCATTCACAAATAGATATCCTGACCCTCCAGTTCGAATGACCGCCTAATACTGAATCTTGTGTTTTCATTGGCTGCTTTTCAGCTGAAGCAGCTGAAATGTGTTTTAGAAATGCTACTCGCAAGCAGGGTTTGATGCTGTTGTTTGACAGTGCTGCACTGAGGGGAAGGGAATCACCAGTCTCCTAGTCTTAAAAAACCACATCTCTTCTTGAGATTCAGGTCATCACAGACAAAAGACCCCACCTCCAGCGCCTGTTCGTCACTGTTACTTACAAATGTCTGTTCTAAGTAATTGTATTTATTCAAGTCGTTTGGCTCCAAGCTAACTGCCACATTTTAATTCTTTCTCTCCTGGCATTACCCAAAATTCTCAACATTTTCCCCCTCTAGTTCTACGTTTTATTGAATAGCAGTCTGAATTTCAAGTCGCATATTTAAGCCCAAATTTGCAATCTCGGATTCAAAGCGTGCAATTCATTATCCAGTGCTAGAAAACATGTGAGTAAGCAAGCTTCGACACATTTTTGGCATTAACGTGGCCATGGTCCTAATGCTCTTGTCTTTTTTTGGATGCTCCCGCACACTCGGAGGAAAAGTTCATTTATTTAAAGGCCAAATGCTTCATTCCTCTTGGTTGCACAAGGAGAAGATGAACACCACCACATGCCTGTCCCGCACTTCTCACATTTCTAAAAGCAAGTCAAGTCACTAATAACATGAAATAAAGATAAATTTAATGGCATATCTTGGGACCTACTAGTTTCACAACCTTTCTACGGAGATTTTAGTGACACAGAAACCCATCACAGCTTCAATAAGCTGTTTTACCGAAATAACTTGTAAATCTCAAAATATTACCACTTTTCTCCATAGGAAAGTGAAACAAAGAGCGTGACAAAAAACCACCACCAAGAGGGTTTTTTTTTTTCCTTTTCTGAAGCCTGCCTACCTGCCAGAGTGGGTCCTTTTGCTCAGGGAACAGTTCAAAATACTTGTGAGCCAGCTGCACCGGAGGAAGAGTTTGCAGTTTCAGGTTTGTCCAGGTGTGAATGAAGTTGGCCAGATTCACAAAGGTGTACAAGCCCAGGCGGTCGTTTCCATAATTAGACAAATGCGTCATGAAGATGCTGATCTTTAAAAAAACAAAATAAAGCAAGTAGGCAGTAGGTATTAGATATTACTGACTCTCTGCCTCACTAGATGGCAGCATAACCACAGATAACACACATTGCATCTGCATTTTGCTCTTGGAGCTGATCAGATTCAGGTAGATGTTGCTATCTTTGCTCTTCATGGAGTTACATCCTCCTTCTCAAGTCAACGCAATCCATGAGGAAAATTGTGGAATAGGTACTACAAGCTGTGTGTGACCCAGGATACGCAGTCCTACCCTGAGGTCGTACATCATTTACATCATCTTTATGTAAATTCACTTAATGGAGGATACAACAAAAGCCAACAGCCACAGTTTTCGTGCCAATGGAATACAAACTGCAATATTAGAAATGCCAGTTCTTCTCGACTTGTGGAAGAGCAAAGAAGTCAGAAGCCAAGAGGAGAGCTGATGTCTGCGGCTGTGATTTGAAACTTGTTGCTCCAACTCTTTAAGGTTTGTAGGATAAGTAGTTCCCCTGTTCTACAAAGCTGTTCTGCAAGCACCAGGCAGATGCTCGAACCGTACACAGAAACAAACAAAACCAAAAAAATCTAAAACCTCCCAGGATAAATTCTCCAAAGTAATTTCCATTAAGAAAGCAGAAGAACATGACTCTCTCAAAAATGTATCTGCTAATGCCACGAATGGGCAATTTCTATTTAAAGTAAAACTTGATATAAGCCACTTTAAAAAGGCTTATCGCGACCATAATTCCAGCCTTCAACTTAAAAAAAGGAAAAAGAATGAAAAACTGGAATCTACAGCTCTATTCTTTGCTTTCAGAGTATTTAAAATGCTGGCTCAAAAAAGTTCAAAGCTATTGAACTGCTATTTTTGTAGGTGTAACACTACAGAGCACTGGCAGTGAATGGCCAGAGAAAATGTGTTTTATTAATAGTGTCGTTTGGTGACAGCTTTTGGCTCATCAGGTAAGCTGAGGGCTTCAGTTCGTCCGACTCAAGTAAAATCAGATGTGCAGTGAAAAATCATTAGGCCACAATCTTTCTTTTCGTTTACAATGTCAGTTGAGCTCCTGGCAACTCCTTACCTTGCCAACAACTACAGCACTGGAAGAAAAAGCAAGAGAAAAGATTGGTAGTTCAGGGAAAATAACCTATTATTCTTTCCATGAAGGGAGGATCACTGTAATTTTAAGAATGTTGGAGCAGAGGTTGAAAAATTGATCAGGCGTATCATCATAAATAAATTCCAGCATATGAAACTGCGTCAATGCAGGGAGAAAATATATCAGAGTTCCAATTTTAACGTTATTTTTCCTTATGTCAAATACTTTATGGTTAATTATTTACACCAAAAAGATGATCAAATGCTGGTTTGAAACATAAATGCCTGAATCTTGTCGAGAAATCCATTTTTAGTGTAACCAAATACAGGAGCTAACAGTAGAAAAGGTCTCCTCTGAGGTATCAGAAATAGCACAGATCAGCTCTCTTCCAGGCAAACCTGACCAAAAGCCTCTCAAATAAATCCCCAAGAAAATCACTACCACTACCTCTGCGGATCACTCTTTCTGCAGCAACTAATACGCTATCACAGATTCAGTCTCTTCAAACCACAGCTTGGGAAATAGCAAAGGAATCCTTCATGGGCATCTCGGAATCTAGTAAGGAACACTGTTTGTTCAATGATCTGGCACCTTTGGGAAATGCTGTAAAATACACATACGGCTTCGTGCCTTTCTTTTTTCTTTCTTCAAAAGGGAAGCAGCTGCGAGAGAATTTATATTTACTCTAACAAGCATTTTAGCCTCCCTTTCAGTTAAAAAGAGCTTATTTGATTTTATTATTTCCAGCCCTCTTGTAAAACCTTTTCTTTCAGGGCATCTTCACATTTTCTCCATCTCGGTGCGAGAAGGATCGCCCTTTTTTCAGTCGTTCCTCATAAACAAACTATCATCCCGGTTGCACTTCAATGCACATTCCCCACAGGATTTAATATCTTTCGCGAGGAGACTGAAATGGAATGCAGACAATTTTTAAAATGATGGCTTGGGAATAAATCTGGCCTCCGGGCAGCAGCTCCTTCCTTGCTCCCCCTGCCTTTTGGTTTCTCCTCAGCATTTCTGCACTCCTCCTTCCCCAAACTGAAAGGGCACAGGGCTATTTTTGCTTTTTTCCCCCTTCCCTAGCCCTAATTTTCTTTGGGGTTCTGACTAGTACTGCCATTTTGGGAAACGAGGACGAGCGCTCAGGAGAAAGAGCTTTTATCTTTCTGACTGCTCATTCTGTGCTGCCTATTTCCACACAACAACGGTTCCCAATTGGAGTCAACAGCTTCTAGGTCAACGAATCGTAGACCGAGATCGAGTTGCTGCTATTAAAGCACACGTATCTGCAAAAGATGAACCAACACGATCTAGTTTATGTATCAAGAGCAGAAAAAAACAAGAGATGCTTGATAAAGAACTTACATAAAATGAAAAAAAAATCTCACCGAGTCAACCGACTTCTAGCGAAGGGTATTGGTTTAGTGGGCTGAATAGTGAAAAAAAAATGGAATGCTGCAAAATCACTAGTATTAGGATGTTGAACCTAGTAAAAATATAAAAATAAGGACACTGCTATAGTCTTGGTAACAGGCTCTTTTTTGTGGTTTTCATAACAAACTCCCCATGAAGGTTTGGAAAGGTCAATTAGGAACCTTCTCTGTATTGGGACAAAACTGATTTATGGTGAGCTCTGATGGGAAGCAGCAGAGCCGGCATCTTTGTGCTGCTCAGCCTTCGAATCTTGCCACTCCCTGCCACGTAGCTTGATGAGCAAATCGTCCCTCACTTCTCCTTCAAACTCCATTTTACACAAAACTTGTGCAGATAAACAGGCTGCATTTAAACCTCACTATTATTCTTCTTCAACCTCCTTTTCTGTTTACACCTCCTTAACGGCGTAATGCACCGGGAGGACTTCTCCGTTTGGTTTTGCTTAAAGCAATAATTCAGGAAAGAAAAGAAGTGGCCATATCTACAGCAGAGCGAAACAAATCAGGCACAGAAGAACAATAAAAAGCCTGCCGAACACTAGCCCACCAAGCTAGCGCTCTCCAAACCTATCAAGAAAATAGTTTTTGAGCATGCGCCCCAATGTGCGTATATTTATTTTTCAATTACATGCTTCTAATACTGAAATTCCAGTATTTTCTTCCCACAGCCAAATGGATCATATGGAACTAGAAGAGCTGGTGTAAGAAAAAACTAGTACTAACTATGGTTTATAGCTTGGGCCCGCCTTTCTTTTTATTTTTTTTTTACCATATAAAAATGTAGTGCAGGCAATCCAACGTGAATAAATTCATAGTGTTAAAGTGGACATCAAGGTACTTCTGTCAAGGGCTTTGTGTCACCCTCCAGTCTGTGCAACAACCTGAAAAGGCAGCACAGAGGCCTTGCAACAAAAAAAGCACGATGCTTGAAAATTAAGTTAGATTATGACTGACAATTAATTATGTGCTCTCTGCTAGGCACTGGAAGCAGATGTGTTACTATTTAGTATATCACTGGTATTTTAGCCCCTGAACAAATGTTTACAGGCCACAGGAGTACATCTAACTCTCGGAACGCCTATATTCCAATTAATTTGGCATTGTGCACACTCTGTTTGCAGTTCCGATCTTGCCTCCGTGTTACCCACAACAGTTTCATTTCAGGTGTTCAGAGACTCAGGAACAGCTGCTTTTGCTCCATTAGACTAACAAAATGAAAGAATAATGAGCGAGAGAGCAGAATCTACGACCAAACGTGTATTTTTAACAGTCAAAAGATGCTCCTTTTAGACTCGTATGCTACCAAAAAAAGCTCAACCCCAGCACAGAATGGTTTCAGCTTGCAACTCCTTGTGGTTCTGGGTTCCCAGCTGCCGCGGATCTGCCCACTTGCCAGGACAGCAACCCAACGACTTGGATCTCATTTCCGTCGCGGTGTCTCCACTATAAATCTAACGGAGCCGGGGAAGATTTAGAAGATCAAACAACATTACAGATTGCGTCTAGCTCTGAATTATTAATCTGACGGTCAGGAAACCCGAGGTTTTTTCCAGCTTGTTGCGGAAACTTTTTTTTTGCCTTTCTCTGCAAATTGCTCACGACGCTTGCGACTTGGTTTTTCAACTGTCCAAAAGAGTTGCTTCACTAACAGCTGTAAACCACTAGTATGAGGCTTTCCCTCCGAGAATTTCCAAGACTCGTGACATTTGTCATCCTTCCCGCTTGTCAGAAAGCAAAGAATTGAGCCTGAATCCCTTTGCTTTTCTATTTTCCTCTGCAGTCCCCAAGCCTGGCTATTCATCGCGTCGAGGGTCACATTAAGCTGCAGTAGGTTCTGCTGACGCTTGTATAAATCGTCTCATTTTCGCTGCTAAAGGAGATAATTTCTCCCTTGCTGCAAAGTCAATTAGCTTAATAACAGCTCTGCTCCCTGCAACTTGGGAGAGGTAAAAACTAAGAGGAAAATAATACTTAGAACTGAATGCGTAGGAAGATTGTAATTAGTTTAGGATCAAGCGGACGCAGGGCAAGGGAGTGCATGACCATGCATGTAACGCCACCACTGCATCCTCTTCTCCTGTTTATCTTGGGGACAGAGGAGGCAGAGAAGATTTTCAGAAACCACCCTTCTCCCTGAGATCTTCATCTTGTGGGATGGCAAAGCTCCTGATCTGTATCTCCTCCAGTCCAAACAACATTTTAAGGCTTGGTTATGTGTGCCTTCTACTAAGAGACAGATGAATCTGCAGTCACCGAAGATTCCAGCAAGTTTATCAGGAAAACTATTGGCTAAAAAGTTTTAAAGTCAGTACAGTGCTAGGAAAAAAGGTATCAGTGCAATATAATGAAGACAGAGAGCTGTCTAATCGAATAAGATGCTCATCACTAAAGTCTTCTACAATGCACGTTTTCCTTGTGGCTTTGCTACAGAATTCCCTGGCTAAGTCAGTGCAAGTCACACAACCTCCTTCAAAAGTCAATCATACAACTGATAACGCGGGAAAAATAAAGTCAATATATAAATAATACAGGGCTGCTGAAGGCTTTTTTTGTTTTTTTTTTTATCTGTAAACCATTTTGGGCAAGCTCCTGATACGGTACAATCTCTCCTAAGGGCAGCTGAATCAGCAAGACCTTTACCAGAAGGCACACACCCAAAATACGATGGGAAGAGGAGGCAGCGTGTTGTGTCACTGCTTCAGCTCTTTCCACCTTGGTGGCACTTCAGCCCTTGAGAACCACAAACAGAGCTTGCCGACCCACATCAGCTACTCCAACAAAGCGACTCGCAGTTCCCAGATGCAACAGAACCGGCAGCGAGCGTCTGCAGAGCAACATTTCCTGACGTTGTTCTTACCTGCGGGACTTCTGACTCTCACAAAGCCCTGGGAACAGGGCAGGAGGGCTGGTTCTCATGTCCCGAGCTGGCAGATGCTTCTGCGGGGTTTTTGTGGTTTATTCCACACACTCTCTTGTGAACATCTACCATCCCACGGCCAAACCACATAGAAATTGTGGGGTTCGTTCTCAGAGGAATTTATTTCAGCAGAGGGTTCTCCGTTCCCAAAGCCTCAGCTTGGTAACCTACACCTCAGAAACTACATTCCTTTAAGTGCAGTTATCCAAATTAAACCAGGATATGTAACAAAGGTCGTTGTTACATTTGCACCCATTTTTTCCATTTTTGGAAACTAAATATTTACGCACTCGTTGAGAATATTATTTAGCACTGTAATGATTCCTAGGTCATGGTTCTTCTTTGTAGTTTTTACAGCAGTAGAATATAACATTTAGAAAATGCCTCGTAACAGAATTTTTGCATCCCCTGAAAAGCTGGGTGTTTCACGTTAGGAAACCCCAGCAAATATAATGAAAACACAGGAAGGCTTATGAAATCCGAAATGCCGGTTGATAATTAGACAAATTCCAAAAGCTACTTAATTTTCCCTTTAATGCTTAATCTATGCCCAACGCTGGCTTGCCAATTACGGTATGAATATGTATAATGCTTTGAGATGAAAACCCTAGTCTTTAAATTGATTCCATGCCAGGCCAACACTCGGAACTTTAGAAACTGTTTATAAGCAGCTATTTAAAAAGCCAAACACGCCACCTGAGCAAAGCCTCTCCCTAAAAGCAGCGCGACAATTGATCTTGGGCAAGTTTTGCCCTAAAATTCCTTTTTAGAAAACAGTGCTTCTAACTTCTGCTCTTTTAGGGCTACAACCATCCTCTAGAAGGGAGGAAATCAGATTTTTGTTTTCTAACTCTGCTAGGTGAACATGAAGAAGAGAACAAAACACGGTAACCGCTCTCAAAGAAGCAAAACTATAGCCTGAAAGAATCTGAGGCTTGGAAAAAACATCTGCATATAAATCGCTGACAGAAGTTTCGTACTTTGGAAATTCCATTAAATTATGGAAGGTTAGACAAGGGCACAAAATACATTTAGGCTATTATTCCAAGGGATTTGAGTGGAAATAGGTTGCGTCCCTTCGGTGTTCTGATGAGTCCTAGCCATTCCTTCTGTATCAAATGGGTAAATTGTAATTACGTGTTTCGTGGGGAGCTCAGATGAAAAACTCACCTAAAACCTTGTCTAAAAGGTCAGTTTTGATGCAGCTGATGCAATCCCATGCCTTCTGTCAGTGCTCTGCAGACTCCTAGCCTCGTTTGCTGTTTGTTTTCACATTAAATATAAATGAAAGGTTAAGTAAATGTATTAATTACGTGGTTCATTTACTTGGATCTCTTCTTTGAAGCTATTCTGAATCATCAACTCCAAAAATCTCAAGAAAAAAAAGAACTCCTTGCTTGCAACTTGCTCAAACCACTGAGTGTTCCCAACATCTTGATTATGAATTTGGCAGAGCAGCAAAACTGACCTGAGGTACTTGTCTCGTAGTAATTTCAGTTCTTAACGCTTGAATTCTTTTCAAAATTAAATCTCAGGGTTCTTATTTCACGCAAAAGGAAAGAGGGACAAGAAAGGTTGCTACTACCGCATTACTAACAGACCAACTGTAAAATAAAGTAAGTTTAACTTTGTGCAACTAACAGAACATACCTGATACTAACTCTCAAATTAATTAACTGAAAAAGCAGAAGAGCTCGCTGTGACCAATTGCCACTCTCTGGGAGACACACCTGATTCGCCTTGAAGCGCTCAGTAACCTCTCCTTTAACAAATTTTTTAAAGGACATTTTAAAATCCTGCTGTACTTACTGGATTGAGAACCACCGTGAAGAACAACTCCCCTCCTTGAATACTTTTGTCTAGTTCTTTCGGGCCTCCTGGATACTCTTTGTAGAAAATTGTGTGGGTGAATAAGCCACAAGTTTGCCTAGGAAGCACCTGAATTTATAGTTAAAAAAAAAAAAAGAAAAAAAAAGACTCAAGAGAAATTCACAAACCAAAAATGTTTATACTTTCAACAAGACAATAATTGCCAGATAAGTAGCACATAACTGATAACGTTCCTTTGTGCTAATTGCTGGGTAAATTCAGAATCACCAATCTGGCAGAAATTATATAACGATCTAGTTTAACTTTCACACCGACGGATTAATAAATGCCGAAAGAAACAACATGTGCATTATCAGTGAAATCATAACATCCAAAAATTCATCATTCTCTGTTTGAAACTGGAGATTGAGCTCAGCCCCTGAGTTACAATTCAGCGACCTCCAAAAACTAATTCTGTCTGTAACACCTGATACTAAACCCAAGTATTTAAAGTCTAATCATCAAAGATTTCAAAAAGTTTAAATTTTGAAACATCATCTGAGATATCATCAGTCTATACTGTACTAATCAGTTCTGGTTTTCATCTGAACACTGGGTTTTGTGTAAATTTAAACAAGGATTTGAAAGTCACTGGGGTTTTGTTTTGCTTAGGCATCACCACCAATAATAATTTCACATTGACACATGATGAATTCTGCCAGTAACGCTCACATTCCGAGAAAGATTTGTTTGTCATTTAATTCTGCTAGTTTTGTAAGATCAGCTGCAATAAAAAGTAGCATCAATAAAAAGGTTTTCTAAAAGCAAACCTTCCGAATAGGAAAAGCTAATAACTTCAGGCAGGTTTTACAGTAGAACTTCCAAATATTTTCTAGCAATTGCAGAAAATAACTTGCTGGCATTTCAATTATGTTTATCTTGTATGGAAAACCAACAGCTGTTGGTTTGTATTGAATGAACGTTCATAAACTGGGATTGTTCTTTAACATTTTAATGCCATTTAAACACTTATTATATGATAGCTTCAACTTTGAAAGCACACACATCCCTTACTGGCACAGACTGTGGTTTTGTGGAGACTCTGTCTTGTCGTTGCACTTCTCAACATCTTTTTTGTAATGTACAGGATCCTGTGACCACAGATCGTAAATTCTGTGTTGACAGAAAACGTCAGGAATTTGTGTGTTCGCTATAAACTGCCTTTTTCAAAACCTTTGGATTTCACTGATGAAACATGAGAAAAATCCCCCACACAGACAGAGAATGATGCTCTACCGGATGGGAAATGCTCTGGCAAATCTTACACGACGATTTTATTACTGAATGTATTCATCACTCGAAGCCTGCAGATGTAAAATATTAATGCATCTGCCCTGGAGAACTGAAAGCTTGAGCCTCCCAGAAAAGACGGTTTTCTATGACTGTTCTTGGAAATAGATTTTTGGCCCCAGTGTCCTCGTGTTCAGTCTCGTTACGCGTCCTTCAATGACATGTTTTTACAAAAACTGATGAAGGAGATTTCAGGAGAATCTGAGTCCATCAGTCTTCCCCAAGTGCTTCACACGCCCCCCAAGCACATCCACAAACCCATTATTTCACAAGCAGCTATTGCTCTGGAAGGAACCAACTGCAGCTCAAACGCCGTCGATTTTTTTTCCCGGATGGCTGGCGATCATTTGAATTGGCTTCGTCCAAAAATAGACCCCAACTTTTAAATATTATCATTTGGCTTAGAAACGTGGTCTCCATGGCAACTCGCGGATGATCCCAAGATGCTGTCAGAAGCGAAGTGGCAGTCGTGCGCTACGGCACTTGACCCTTCCGCCGCTCTCCTACGTGCTCCAGAAGAAAGTTGCTCAAGAACATAGCAACAGGTGTTTGGAAAAGTTGTTTTGAAACCCTCCTCAGATCCTAACGACAGCGTGAGAATCAGAAATAGCCGACGGCCCAGCGACCAGATGGCACTAACGTAACGCCTTCCGTGTCGGTTGTGTGTAACCTCTTTTTTTTTCTTTTTGTAAAAAAAACCCCTCATGCACCAAGATCCCGATTCTCAGACATCATAAAGCAGCAAAACCCTTTTTGCAGTTAATGGGACCATGCAAATTTAAAAGCTGCTAGAAATCTAACCCGTAATAGCCTGTTAAAAGATGCAAAGTTGGCTTTTTTAACTTGAGATCTCTGAAGCAGTATTAAGAGTGGAACGAGAACAGTTATCAGCCTGGGAAGTGTTAACACTGGGTGCCTGGAGGCCACCTTCATCAGCGGTAACATCATCATCCGCAGACTGATTTTAATTAACAAGATACTGTCAAATATATCTTGCTACTTATGCATGGCAATATGTGCTTCTCGCAGTGTGAACTTTCACGATACTGTGTTTTTCCACTTAAAACCCCCAAATTGTTCGTAAAGCAGCGGATCTGAACATGATAAATACAACTCACCATGATGTTTTTGTGGATGAAGCCTCGTCTAAACCTCGCGGGCTTCAGATGGGGGTATTCTTCTGTGCTGGTCACTCTGATATTCCAGACCTTTTTCCAAGCATCGTAAAGTTGAACGTGTACTGGGTAGACTCCAGAATGGTGTGGAGCCACTGCATAGCCCAAATCCGTTGGAATACCGTGTTCCTGAAACATCACAGAACAACCACTGCTTTCAAACATTTAATTAATTAAACATTTAATTCTGGCATTTCCGAAATGCTTGGTTTGCGAGAGATGAACAACAGGTCTCAACACAGGTCTGAAATGCTGATACTTAACGGAGATGGAAGGCAGCAGAGTGAAGGTGAAACAGCAGATTTTAACATAAAAGCCTTTATAATAAATACTTTTATGAGGATACTCATAAAAAAGAGCGGCACAGAAGTATTTTACACTGATTTCTTCAATCTACACTAAACAGAAAGCTGCGCTCTTCTCATGATCTTGCACAGAATTTGCTCACAAACTAAGAATTCAGGGAGTTACTGGCACATGCTCAATACAATGGGCAGTATTTGGCAGTTAAAATAATAAAAAAGTGATTTCCACTACATGTCCCTGCACAATTAATTGGACTGTGAGCTGAAGTTCGCAGAAAGTCACTGCATTTCCTCTCTAGTCCACTCGAAACAAAAAAAAACATATTCAGAAACAAGCTTAATCATTTCAGCATCCTTTTTACAAAAAAGACAAACAATAATAACTTGTAAAATCCTGAGGATGGCAGGCAGATGCTGTAGACTAACCCCTTTTGTAGTACAACTTCTGTTTTTGCAGACTCCCATCATTTATTTTGTTTACATATTGACCTTGCTGGTATCACCTTCTCTTGACACGCAACATATTTTCTTTAGTTTCTTGTTTCTGACACAATCTAATGTATTTTTCTTTTTCTCCTTTCTCTCCAGTTACTTTTCAAAGGAACAGTATATGGCAGAATACAGTGCAAGACTTTGTTGCGTTGCAGTGATTTAGGAAAAGTGCCTTTGCACAACCTTCAAAAAATCTGTTCAAGAGGTTTTTACATTTTTTTGCACTTTTATGGTCGTCTTCACTCTCATTTCTAAATACACTTTGTGCAAAGGTAAGAGTTGAGTGACACTTGCATCTCTTCTTTTGAATCAACTTGATACTAAGGAATAAACTTGATACTAAGGAACTTCATACTAAGGAATACGAAAAATTTGGTAAATCTTCTCTCAAAAACAAAATGGGTTCATGATCTAAGTCAAGTAATCTTTCCTGGAGGAGGACTAGAGCTCTGCAGGAAAGATGACATCCAGGCCTTAAAAAGCTTAGTCAGGATTCAGCACCAGGTATACCTGGTATAATTTAAATGTGAAAACTTTACTAACAGCTCCCAACTCACAAGAAGCAGCATTTGCTTCTGCTCCCGAAGAACATGAGAAATAAGACATAAGGATTTCAATTTCTTCCCTTTAGCATGCATAAACATGAGAAATAAAGATCTTGACAGAACATGCAAGGAATTGCATTCTCTAACGTCCCGTTTAGTCTCCTTCCTTCAGCTATAGTGTCGGATTTTTTTTAAGGGTTTCTCCCTCAAGTTTTACAACGCACAGTAATAAATACGTAATTAAAATCTTTCATTCTAATTATGAGGCTATCACCTTCGATGTGTCAGTGCCTCCATGATTTCTCAGGGACTGTAATTCCCACGTTGAGGATCCCGCACGCAATGCACACATTCAGCTGGAGACCGCACGAGGCATCAGCAATTTCAGCCTCTTTTAAAAAAGGAGGATACTTATCTTTGGTGTTAATTTAAATTCTTTAAGCAAATGAAACATAACGAGTAGCTTCGTGTCTATGTGTCTATACATAAGTTCAGACACAAAAAATTTAACATAATGTATCTGTAAGTATTAAGAGCATTCCAAGCAGCGAAGGAAAGAGAAATTGTCACTTAAAACAGGGCTGAATATGAATTACTGTAATAACGTAGTTTAATGGTTACATACTGGAGAATAACCCCAGAGGACGTCTTGGGTCACACCAGAACTGTAAGAACTAATTTAATTCCCCTGGAGCTTGCAACAGCACACTGAATCACAGAAAAAAGGGAATTTTGGACACGGGATTTTTAAAATATCATGCTTCTAACTTCTACTGAAAAGCTTTCTTTAAAGGAAGCAGTAAATTTGAGCTGGCTTCTACTCAGGACACCTACAGGTCACAGTGAACTGGGTAAAATCTTTGGTCGAAGGAATGCATGCACTTTATCTACTTAAAAGCGAAGTTTTCTAATTATATCAAATTATACTCCCTTGATATTCTAGGTATATACTTCCTCCCACACCCACTGACACATGACCGTAAGTTCACTCTTTTTGTTCTAGTATTTCAAATAAAGTAATCAAAAAATGAATAAATCTATGTTCAATCGAGAAGGAAATCCAAGCTGCAGAGAAATAGGATTTTCACAGCACTTTGTGAAAACTTTGAGATTAAAACAAATTCTGCATGGACTGATTTTCCAACACAATAGGAATAATGGTTTCTCAATACCTAAAATCACTCTATAATGCAAAAATAGAACTCACTAAGGCAAATTTTTTGTTGAGGATCATCTGCTCCACCAGTGAGGACTCATTGTGGAAGAGGTGAGGCTGCATGTGACTCCACATGTGGGGAAACCACCAGAACTCATCTACAGATCTCAGCAGCAGGTCATCGCCTTCATCTTCCTCCTCAGTCCCTGCAGAAAAAAGAAAACAACAAAAAGACGAATATCTCTGGAGTAAAGTCTCTACTTTTATCGTATTCTTACAACTGTGGCATCAGTAGCTAAGGGATGGAATCAGAGAAATGGTGCACACGACAGTTTAATACACGGTTGAAATGAATACATTGACCATTTTTCTGGTACACTTCCTCCAAACTAAATTCACTGCCCAAACAAACTCATTTTCCTTTCGTTACCTATGACACCCAGAAGTTATTTTTTTTCCAAATATTTTACAAAAATTAGGCGTCATCCAATTATTTTCTCTTCCCGGCTAATTCTTACTTTCTGATCACCCAGCAGAGAGGTTTTTACAGACTCTACCTACACAGTTATTTCCTGACAGATTACAGCTCAGACAAAAGCTTAATGCAGTATTTTAGAAGAAAAATTTGACTTGATACATCACACAAATGTATATGCCAAAGCAACCTGGAATCAAAAAACAATTTGTAGTTAACCTATTGCAAAAGAAACTCTACTCTCTACTCAGACCCTTCGTCTCTATCATTCCTACTTTCCTCCTAGTAAAAAGAACACCATCAAAAGGAAAGATTTTAGTATTTCATTCTTACCTGTGTGATAAAATTTCCCTGAAAATCCCAGGTTGAAAGTAAAATTTGTAATCTGGGCTCTCAAAAGGTTCTGAGTGTCAAGCAGCGCCTGAAAAACAACAACCCACTACATAAATACTTCTGCAGAAAACACATCTGGTGCAAAATTCATTAACACAATATAAATATTTTTACAGGTATATGTCTTTTCAATTGGTTTTGCTGGGACACAGCCAGGAAGGAAATTCAGATTTCTCATGCCCCTGACCACTGCTCCACTCACCAGGGTCACAGTTGGGTCTCTCTATATCAGGACAAGCACAGATTTTAGTCATGTTTCAAAATTACTGGCGACGAAAAAAGAATCCAGAAAGACAGAAAGAAGCTGGATGAAGCCTACTGCACATCCAAGAACTTAATCCTGAATTCCCCCAAACTGGGATTTATTTCTCAGACAGTTGTCAGCATACGTGTGCTTGCACCGAACCAGTTCAAACAAAAAAAAAACAACAAAATCAAGAAAAGCATGCAGAAGAAAAAAGGGAAAACTATTATTAATCAGCTACAGCTTCACTCTTTTATTCCAATATGCACTTCTTGATCTGCTGCTCTCAAGATTCCCAGACGACTTGCAGAGCCACCTCCCAAACTTTCACACTCTGCTGTTGTTTGCTCTCGCAGAGTCAACATCTATTATAGCATCAAGATTTTAATAAAGTGATTAAAGCAATACTACTGTCAGAAATTATTAACTCTAAGAATGTTATTAAAGGGGAGTGTATTTAAAGGCAGAAAAAGATTGAAATCATTGGAGATTTGCCAAGGTTTAAAGGTCTAGTAGGCTCCCCAACTCTTGAAATTCCATTTTTTGCCCTGAAAAATACAAACCAGTAATCTTAAATGCAATTTCTTTGGACATTTCATTATATGAGTGCTTTGGCTCCAATTATTATTTTTTTTTTCTTTTACCAGAATCTCAACGACAATAAAATGTTAGCATGGAAGTCAGGTCCTGCTTTAGATACAGTAAACTTAGAGTTCCTTAAAATATAACTCATTTCACAGATGCAGGCGATATCCACCTGCGATTATCAAAGTTTTGGCCACGGGAGCTCCTCTCCAGCTCTTTCCCAGGGCTCATCCCAATCGGTTCTGGTAGGAAAATAATCTCTGTCTGCAGGCTCCTGAGGGACCAGCAGTCACCAGCAGTACTTGCCTTGTTCACCATTTCAGCAGACCAGGACATTATGCCTAAGTGTATTCGTTAAATATATATTAATCACAAAACTAAATTGGTGAAAAAAACATCACTCATCTGCCTCCTCTTTCCTAGCTCCTCTCAGATCTGGAAATACTTTATATAAGTTTAATACTTTGCCTCTCCAGCTGCCTTCTTCACCACTACAGCTCCAGCAACACCAGTAGAGGCAGGTTCAAGGCACAGTGCTAGCAAGATAAAGATCATCTTCCACGGGAAAGGCTGAAAAATGTCCTGCGAACAAGGCACTCTCTAAAGGAATGAGCACAATGAAGCGCAGAATGGAGAACACTCAAAACAAGCTCGAGACTTCTGAAGCGGAGCGTTCAGAGAATCTTCACCACTACAGCTCCAGCAACACCAGTAGAGGCAGGTTCAAGGCACAGTGCTAGCAAGATAAAGATCATCTTCCACGGGAAAGGCTGAAAAATGTCCTGCGAACAAGGCACTCTCTAAAGGAATGAGCACAATGAAGCGCAGAATGGAGAACACTCAAAACAAGCTCGAGACTTCTGAAGCGGAGCGTTCAGAGAAAACCCCCCCGAGGCTCTAACAAGGGCTTTTGGGCAGGCTGAGAGTGCAAAGATCACCAAGGAGGCTTCTTATTCTAACGCAAGGTAGCAAATCTGCAGAGGATTCCTTATGAAAACTATCTCTGAGCTGCTGGGAACCTGTGCAATGAAATCATTTTCTCTTTGCACGGTTAAAAACGTCAGAGGCAGGTGACGTGGCAGTACGCCCTTTATGTCACCAGTACATCCTGTCGGATGAAATCCCAAGTCCACCTTCTACAGAACGAACTTCCAGAGCGACGCCGTTGATTTTTTGGCCACATAACTCTCACTCAAGCCAACAGGAGATCTCCTGCTGAGGGCTTGTGGTGGTGGAAGAGGCACCGGCTAATCCCAGGGCTGTACCTGCTCCGCCGGCGCTGTCTGCAGAGAAGGGGGGCACAGCCCGGCCGCGAGCCGCTTCTTGTACCGACAAGCCGAGATAACATTTGAGTTGTCGTGCCTGTGATTATTTTCTGTGCGACTTGACATTTTACTCATCTTTCAGGTTCTAAAAACAAAATGTTAAGACTCGTGAAAAATATATAGTAGCAGATGGCAGAGCCTATTACTGTGAGTTTCCATCAGAAAGACACAGAGAGAGAGAAAAGCAGGGGGACGAAGAGCCTGAAATTCCATTTCTAAATGCTGTTTCATACGCTGAAGGTAAGCTGGTGGTATTCTCTCTGTATTTTATGACTGGTTTATAAGCAGCCCCTCAGGGTTGCAGGAGAAGTTGTATAAACACACCACTACTGAAGAATATGTTTTTAGTAAAGCCTTTGTAAATAGCACCTTAGTACATATGTTAGACTTGTGCTAGTAACATAAGGAAAACAAATTGCTGGCTGCATAATCGCCTTCATGCACACAGCTACTTGACTTTTCAACTTCTCCTAAGCTCACATACTAGGTTTAGGAAATTCCTTATGCCAGTAAAATCAAATGTGAGAATTCGGCATATGACGAAAGACCTCCTGCTTCACCACAGAGCAAAATAATCTCAGAAAAAAGCCCTGCTGCAATCCCAGGAATGGACAAAAGTCACCCCGACAGCAAGACAACAGCGTTCTTCAAATCCCTGGATCTGAAGAGTTTACTGTACAACAAAAGGAATATAAGAAATCATGTATGTTGGAAATAAAGCCAGATTCTCACATTATTGATCAGCATCACCCTATTCAAGTCAGAATTCAGAGACATCACCTTTACTGAACGAAGGAAGTGGGTTTACTTGTTTTTTCTCAACTTATGGACAGGACAAAGAGAGGCACAAGCAGACGACACGGGCTGTCAAAAGCTCAAGTAAACCAGCATCAAAGCCAAGGATAAAACACACATTGCCAAACTTTTTCCCTATTCCCATGGCCGGGAAACCATCCCGCCTCGTGTCCTCAAATATCTCTCGACGTGCTTTCACTTTACCGTCTGTCACAGAGAAATCACAAGTGTCAGTCTGTCCCGGGCAAACACACAGGAGTGATTTCTTCAGAAGCTTTCACATCAGTAACAAAAGCAAGAAAGGTCAGCTTCCTCATTTTCCAGAAATTTCCCACTTTTTTCAGGAAGCACATCTCTTCTCTCAACATCTGCTTTACTATTTCATGTCTAACAACACTATCAAAAGTGCCCTGAAATTAGGAATTAATTTACTTTTAAGAGCCTGACCTTTTCACAAGTTTCTATTGATAATGCAGAAACAGGAAAAAAGAATAAAAGAGGGTTGGGGGCAAAGGGAAAAGAGAAATGATGAACGTAACACAGACGCGACTGAAGGTTGCATTTATGTTGCATACAAAAAAAAAAAAATCAGGATTTTTAGAGCTTGGTGCTTATCTTCAGAGTCCTAAAATCAGTATTTCAAATTCGGGGCGTATGGAGGCAGCAAGAGGCAGCATGGCAAGAAGAAAGAGGAGATAGCCTCGGTGAAGGTCTGTCCCAAACGGCCGGGAATCGTTATTTTATTAGACAGGCTATTTCACTTGTGAGGAAAAATGTTTCCCTCGTGATAAATTATGTATTTTGGAACATCATTAAAATTCAATGTCTATTCTTTCTGGATTTCCAAGATTAGCATTTTGACACCCATTACCATAAACATTTAATCTATGCAGGAGGAAGGATAATTGCTTTGGGTATACTGGGTGTATCTGAAAAGAAATTCTGAATATCTCTCAGACGAAAGGGAAGAACGCTTAAATTTTCTTTTGACTGTGCACTCTCTTAACAGAGCTGACGCTACAGAGGGGGCAAGAGAAGAAAAAGAACATCTTTGGCGTTTTCTGCAAATTGTTTAGCTGGCAGAGCCATAAATTATAAATAGATCCTAAACTGTGTAAGTGAGGAAAGGAGACTGCTCTGCAGTTTGGTGCAAGCAAGGTATCCAAGGGGACACAACCCGGCACAAATAGAAAGACTTGTGAAACAGGGACAGGAAAATTAAACTGCTGCCAATACATGTATTCAAGTTTATAAAATACCGATGCAAAGCGAGCTGAAGGGAACTATTCCTGCTACCTGGTACAACAAAATAAAAATGGGTGGGGGGTATAGTATCAGGCTAGAGCAGCTTCAGGAAACAAATTATTCTTTCAATTAAAAACATGTATTTCATTAAGTCTATTGAGTACTTGGAAAGACGCAACAGTTTGAAAGTTCCACATGCCAGCAGGATGCCTCCTTACGAAGGACCACGGAACAGAGTGGAATTTAAACCAGAGAAATGTGTGCAAGAATTCCTCAGAGACAAAACAAAGCACCTGGTTCCGGTTACCTAAAAATCGTTGTAGTTTTCCGGACAGCGAGATGCTACCTGCGGCGATTGTGGCTGTAAGTGAGCAAGCAGAGATGCCTCGGAGCCCAGCTCTGCAGTCCGCGGGACAGGCAGAGCTCCACTCAAGGATGCTAAAACTTTTGAAAATGTTGTCGCAGTTGATGTTCATCAGCAGTTTTTTCATCAGAACACACTGGTTTAACGTTACTGTGTCTTCCTATGGAGGTTTTTTTAAATCACATACAATAATGATCTTGAAGACAGTCCAATTACACATTTTCAAGTAATTAGGCTCTTGCATCTAGGTAAATAATTTGTGCAACCAAGAGATTTAAGGAATATTTCTAACTTCATTCAGCAGCTTCTTACTCTTGGAGGTTGAGACAGCAGCTAATGAGGATAAGCTAATTATGGCAAGGTAAGTTGAAGGTTTTAAATACTTGGCACCAACACTGTTTAATAAAGTGCTTAGCATGCTGTTCTCAGATTTCTAGATGAAAATCTGCATTATCAGATCTTAATTAAAC